TTCGCTCGTCACCTTCTCCCGTACCTTCTACTACCCTCCGCTTCACCTTCTCTCGTACCTCTCTCACACCTCCGCTGTCACCTTCTCCCGTACCCTCTCTTACCCCTCGCTGTCACCTTCTCCCGTACCCTCTCTACCCCTCGCTGCTCACCTTCTCCCGTACCTTCTCTACCCCTCCGCTGTCACCTTCTCCCGTACCCTCTCTACCCCTCCGCTGTCACCTTCTCCCGTACCCTCTCTAATCCCTCCGCTGTCACCTTCTCTCGTACCCTCTCTACACCTCCGCTGTCACCTTCTCTCGTACCCTCTCTACCCCTTCGCTGTCACCTTCTCCCGTACCCTCTCTACCCCTCCGCTGTCCCCTTCTCCCGTACCCTCTCTACCCCTCCGCTGTCACCTTCTCCGCGTACATACTTTTTACTATCGTTCTTTGACGCGCGCCCTCGTACACTCTGACCCATCTCTCTGTCCCCGATGCGACAAACGAATCGACTAATGTCGAAAACATCGGCGCAAATGAGAAAGGAATGAATGGCCACTTGACGCGAGTAGCGACATGCGACACAATCATCCATCACGCGTTAGTCGCACGCTCGGCTGCACGAACTAGGCTAATAGCTGCGATCCAGTTTCAAGAGATTTTTAAATTCGCAACCGCTTCAAGGCAGCAGCAGCAGCAGCAGCAGCAGCAGCAGCAGCAGCAGCAGCAGCACGATATCGCGCGCACGCTACTGCGGCCGAACCTAGATAGCGATGCATCTTCAGTGACAGAATCGGCCGCACACGACTGATACCTACGCGCAACTGTTGCAGATACGTGCGCGACCAACGTGACCAAATGTCCTTCCGATCACCCTAACGCGAATAATTCATAGGCTCTTTAGCAACAGCGCATCGCGTTAATGTCGTCATCAGATGGAGGCGGGATAGAACGACTGAATTGACGCGTACACGATGAATAACACAACGAGTTACATTCAAATGTTATGGCGCCATCGGTTAACAAATCAGTTCCTACGCGCGGGCCGCATTGGCCGCCACGAGTACTAGAGTACCTTCGTAAGATAAATGATATACAGGAGCAATACAAAGGCATGCTAACGTGCGCAACACACGCACGCTGTCTGGTGGGTGACATAGTGGTCCTCGCTGTCGATGGGAATGAATGAAGGAATGAGTGAGTGACGAAATGAGTGAGTGAGCATTAATGAAGAACGACAATCGTCGTCGCTCACGACGCACGAACGTTCTACACTCACAACCTGCCGACGACGACCTCACGCTTTCGCGGATCGCCACCTGGCGGTCAGCCGCAGGCTAGCTGCTAGCTGCGGACCCCGTACCGCACAACAATCGACCGCCATCTTATCTTATCGAAGCTATCGATATTTCGCTTCTTTCGCGATTCTGCTCTACGTAAATTGTACTACCGTTGTCGCGCCTAAATACCTTTTTAAGCCCCCTAGCTGCGTGACGGTACTGGAGTATATATACAGGTAAAGTAGTATATACTATTACAGTAGTATATAGTATAAGTACATATACTGAAGTATAAATACTAGTATGGTAGTATTATAGTATAAATACTAAAGTATATATAGGCGACTTTTGGAATGAGGGTGTATGCGTGCTAAACACACACGAGAGGCGTGGGTAATAAATGAAAAAGGTAGAAGGGCTCCTCTGGGAGAATTCATTAGTAGAGTTCTCCAAGTAGGAACATGTAGAACAGCGAGCTACATAGAACGTCTCGGAAAAATTACTCAATAAATTCTCGCCCAGTCACCCTCGGAGGGATCCCTTACGCAAAAGTTCCCAGCAGAAATTTTTTCTCGGGAGACGCTTTCCAGAGCGATCCCCGGGGCTGGCGTCTAAACATTTGACGTGGCGATATCGCCCGCTAGAGGCGCAGCATCTGCGCAGAGACCTGCAGCGTCACTGTACACGGGTGGGGGTAGGGTGGGGCGGTGGACACACAACGACCCCGCCTGGCCATCATGTGCCTTTTAGAACGCTGGTGATCTGTTCGTTAAGTGCGGTGGCGTCCTGTAGGTGGCGCCCCAGCTGCTGCTGCATGTCGGCAGCTTTCTGCTGCGGCGCCCTCGCGTCGGCTAGCTCCTTCTCAAGGCGACTGATCTGCTGCTGCAGGCTGCTGCTCTCCTCCTCCACGGCCTGCAAGCAAACGACGGAGACGACCGTCACTCACGCGTGTGCACACGTACGCACGCCTGTGTACATGAACACGCACATGCATGCATGCACACATGCACGCACACATATACATACACACTTACAAGCATGCAATCATGTAAATACACATTCACGCAAGCATGTACACACACACATGCAGGCACAAAAGCACGCACACACACACACACACGCGCGCACGCGCACGCGCACACGCACAGGCACACGCACACGCGCGCGCACACTCCACCCGTGCTGTCATTGTACCCCACCATGATATTATTGTCGCCACCCGTGCTGTCATTGTACCCCACCATGATATTATTGTCTCCACCCGTGCTGTCATTGTACCCCACCATGATATTATTGTCGCCACCCGTGCTGTCATTGTACCCCACCATGATATTATTGACTCCACCCGTGCTGTCATTGTACCCCACCATGACATTATTGACTCCACCCGTGCTGTCATTGTACCCCACCATGTCATTATTGTCTCCATCCGTGCTGTCATTGTACCCCACCATGATATTATTGTCGCCACCCGTGCTGTCACTGTTCCCCCATCATGTTATTATTGCATCCCCTCATGTCAATACTGTACTTATTCATGCAATTATTGCATCCCATCATGCTATCGCTGTATCCGGCATCGTGTTATCACAGCCTTTACGATGCTATAGTTGCGTCCATCACGTCGTTCTCGTGCCACACTCGCTGTGGCGGTCGCAGCAGCGCTCGCCTCAGCATACACACAGTATGAACACACATACGCCGCAGCAGCAGTATTCCCGACACGCACGCCAGCCGACCGCCGGCGACGACGTTAAGAACGTCACGTGTCGAATTAGCGCGTAATGAATGTGGAATCGGCGCGGCGGCCGCCGCAGCTGCGGCAGTTGCGCTGCTCGCTGCTGCACGGCCGGCGCGTGACTGTCTAACAGCATCGTCAACATCTACGCCGAAAGCATCGTCAACGTCCACGCCGGCAGCATCATCAACGTCCACGCCGGCATCATCATCAACGTCCACATCGGCATCATCATTTAAGTGGATTTGTCTGTCGCTATCAAAGCGCTATCGCCGCTGCTGCGTAGGCGTGCGCGCGCGGACGAAACCCGACTTCGGCTGAGTAATTATTTTAAGTAATTATTCATACAAATTTCCGAGTTCTTCTCCTTTCACATCTGATCGCTCTCTCGCGCGCGTCAGAAAAAAAAGACAAAGGCAGAAAAAAAAGAGAGAGAAAGTTACTGAACTAATTCATTCGCCACACATACTCGCAGCGCGCGTGCATTATAATCATGAATTATGTCGGCGACCTATCCGGCAATCTATCGCCGATAGACGGATGCGTAACCGCGCCGTGATCGCCGTGAAGTGCGCACGCGTAACCTGCGACCTGCACTGCGTAAGATGCGTAACCTGCGCACGCGTATAAGGTTGCTGCAACTACAACATGGCTTTTCATAAACTAGGGATCCAGACGGTTAAAATGAGACCAGTCCCAGCTTGTTATACCTCCGGTAGGGGTATCTCCTTAAATAGAGCCCTTTTTCGGCTTCGGCCGCTACACTATAAGCACTTACGAATCAATCTATAATTTTTGACACGCGCCGTTGTCTCTGATATCCACACGCTTCCTATATCACAATCACACGCACGTCGACACAGATATCTACATTTCTTCCCAATAGATGGCGTTCGGTGACGACATACATCACATCGATTTGCCGCTGCAAACTGCACATTTTCTCGTCTATCCGTTCTCTTGCTTGACTGATAAACCCAACATTACGGATCGCTGTGCACACCGACACAGACGCCGTCTATCTTTGCCGATCTGCAGAGATCTCAGGCGTGTAATACATACAAGGAGAACGAGCTCGCTACACAGCCAGTCCCTGTTATCGGCAGCCCTTGCAGACCGCCGCGACAGGAAAACAAATATCCCGTTCGATTTCGCATTCCGCCGAGAATAAAAGATCGCCAAACTCTCGAGCTGGCTTCCTCCTCCAGCTATCGAGCTGAATAACTCGCGGAGCTACCGACAGCGGAATTGGCCAAAACCAGCGCATCGCAAGAGAATCTCCGCTCTAGCATAGTCTGCTTACTTGTACCCTAGAGTAATAAGCTGATTACTTAGTTTTACTTGATTTATAGCTATACTTAGCTTTACTAAGTATAAAGCTATAACGCTTATACACAGAGTAAAAGCTAGAAAAGTATTTTTAGCTTATAGTATATTTTTTAGCTATAAAGCTTATGTATATTAGCTATATAGTATAAAGTATAAAGCTATACTTAGCTTTACTCAGCTTAGCTTTACTTAGCTTTGATTAGTTAAGAGTAGTCAGCTTATTACTCCAAGCTTGCACCGACTTAACAGGAAGGAAGTGAGTAAACACGACTCTGTCGAAATGCGCGGTGACGCAAGCGACCGTCCGCCTCGGGACGCGGTCGCTCTGTCGCTCCGTCGCTCTCACCTTCAGCTTGTCCTGCGCTGCCGTGGCTTTGGTCATGTCCAACTCCATCTCGTCCAGCTGCAGCCGCAGCGAGGCGATCTCCTGCAAAGAAAATCAGGTAGTGAGCGGTCATAGGCCTACGTCATGAAGGTCAAAAATCAGCGGTCAAAGGTCAGTGCTGACCAACTTCAAGATCGTATCCAATCGGAAACGTTACCGAAATTGCGAATCGGCTTCTCGCCATCTGAACATTGTTGTGGTATTACACCGCAGGGTCCTGATGATGAAGAAATACTACTACACTTAACAAGCGAGAGAGATATGCGACCGACCGCAGCGCATCCGATGCGCATGCCCACACAGCCTCATGGCTTCACCCAACGTCTACAATGTACGGTCAGGACCACACGGCCTCCCGACCTCACACCCCACGGGGGGAGAACAGTTCTACAATGTACGGTCAGGACCACACGGCCTCCCGACCTCACACCCCACGGGGGGAGAACAGTTCTACAATGTACGGTCAGGCCCACACGGCCTCCCGACCTCACACCCAACTGGTGCAGAACAGTTCTACACTGTGCGGTCAGCGGGAAGCGAAATGGTGCGACATCTAGCGGCGGCCAGTGACAGGTCGATATCGCCGATGCCGAGCGATTACTTTTTTCTTCTTTCGCATAAAGCAAGATGAAAAAAGTATCGGAGTTGAAAACGACTCGGCCGGACGTCGCGGAACGAGGGGAGAAACGTCGTCGTTAAGGAGAAACATGGTAGCGACGCTGGGAGTCCGTGCGGCCGTGCCAAACACGGCGGGAATAGATTGGCCCACTTCAAGTCTCTCCTCTGTCCTAATGGCTCGTGCATCACCGCCATCATCTGTCCATCATTACCTACTTGTGTCATGCTATACTATCATCACATCCCCACCTCTGCTGTCACTGTACCCCACCATATGTCGCCACCCGTGCTGTCATTGTACCCCACCATGATATTATTGTCACCACCCGTGCTGTCA